GAAACAGAGAAGGCATATTAATAATACCAATATCTCGTTATCGTGTAGGGTATCGTAAGAAGCCATATTTTTCTCTTCACGCTTGCCAGGGCGCCCATATGCCATGGCTTCTCAAACCATCCTCCATTCAATAATAGGACCTTCATTGTCCTATCACGCGATACTGTATAGCTACATGGTAAGATATTCAGGCCAAGGCGGCAACACTGACATGAACGCTCACGAATTCCAGTTCGAAGTTCACAGTTGACACTCTAGGTATATGTTGCAAGTAACAGGTAGCATTTCCATATCAATTTCCGTTTCAAACCCGCACCACCACAAGCAAACATAATATACAAAATCCAATGCAGAACAAACTCAGAATCAATCAGAATGAATTGGTATAAGAGGTAATTAAGTAAGCCAATATCGCCCATCGCACCAACACACCTATACTCACATTTTCAAGCCGAGAAAAGCAAGATCCGAAATGAAGGGGACAAACCCTGCTCGCGATAATCCCCCCTTTTTTTTTTGGTTCTGATAGGAAGGGGCAAATTCCTCCCAAATACATCTCTTTGTCATACATTACCCTCGTTGGTTTTATTCCCACGATTGATAGATATGGTTTTATTACTCCAATTAGTCTGATTCATGGGTCCCTTAAACAATAATAACAGACTAGCCACGACCTGCGGAATCGAAAACGTTCTGTTGCATGGAATATGCTCTTTTGGCACCTGTTGTTTCGGAGCAAGTTTGTTGTTCCTGTGTCTGTTGCTGCGACGAATGTGGCAGATTTTGATGCGCTCGTTGTTGCCTTTGTTGTGAGAGTATTGGTGGAGGTGGTGGAGTCGGGGATGGCTGTAAAGGCCCAGTGGAGAAGCCTTGAATATCAAACATAGGCCAACTCTGGTTGTTCGGGTCTGTTGCGGTCGTTTGAATGTAGTTGTCCCATGCATCCTGCAAAGGAAAGTACCAAAAAGTGGTTAGCAGGATAAGTGCCATGTCCAAATTTCCCGGTTCATGTACTACAATGTAAGCGGAGGGAGAAATTGAAGTGATCAAAAGTAGCCCAAAAAAGGGATGTCAAAAATTCGAACTTTTTTTGGTAAAAAAAAAAAAAAAAGAAAACACAAAAACAAAAAACTTCAAACAAAAAACCTACCCAATCCAAATTGAATGGCTGCATTGTCAGCATTTGTCCAAATGTTCCCGTTCCCAAGCCAATCCCGCCGGGCGTTGGTACTTGCATCGAGTCAATAATTCCTCCTTGATTGATACCACTGCCAAACCCAGAAGACTCCAACTTCATATGATCGGTGTCACCAAACTGCGGAGGAACCGTCGAGCCCATTTGGTTCAACCCAGTGCTCAGCAGGCCCAGCGTCATGGCCGCATTTTGCTTTTCATCCTGCGGTTCGAACGGCCCTTCTGGTGTTGGCGCCGCAGGCGGCTCTGCAGGAGCGCCCTCGTCGCTGCCATCCTGATCCTGCTGTGACTGGTCCGGAAATAACTTCCCCAGCAGCACATCAATGATAGCAATAGCTCTCCACGCGTCCGCAGATTGATCTTTGAGTTCATTCCACATATCCCTGGACCTGCGCAACATCGCAAGCTCTTCTTGATATCGGTCTACTCCTAGCACAAAGGTGTCGGTGGGGCTACGGCCGGAGGAGTTTTCTTGCATGAGTTGGTATATATCGAGTGCTAATATTGTAGAAGACATCAGAAAATCTTGGGTGCTGGAGGCGGCCATGTAGCCCATGTTGGCCTTGATGCTAGGGTTGGTTTTAAATGCTGCTTGGAGAATGTTTTGGAATCGGAGCAGTTCCATCGCGCTCTCGATGCAGGTGCGACGGGAGTACGTATAGCGCGGGTTTTCGCGGCCGCGGTGGAGGAATCTTCGATGGAGCACGCATTGCGCTCTATGATAAATACTTACAATCTGTAGATTCCATATATGGTTTTCTCTTTTAGCCAAAATTATAGGGTGATGGATTTCACACATGCTGCCCGAGATTTTATCATGAAATGGAAAAATGAAGGGAATGAAAGGGAGTGAAAGGGGAGGGGAGGGGAGGGGAGGAGAGGACATAAAAGTGAGAAATATTTACCATAAATCTTGACCTGACAACATTTAAGGACTCATTACACTCCACGATGGGTTTAAAACTCATCCGTTCGGGAATCAAATCCCGCGTCTGGCGAAGTTGATGATCCACGTCCATGACCACTTCATACGACGATCCAGTAACCTTCTGTGTGGTTTCCAATACTCGTCCAAACGCAAGCGCAAGCTTCGCCTTGATGATGAGAAACGAGATCTGCGTAGCTTCATCTATGGGTCTTTCAGGCATAAGCTTGACCGTATCTTCGTCGAAATCGGTATCATGCAAATTTCGTGGAAGCTCTGTATCACAATCTCCTGTACGTATCATGGACGGTAGACCGACTTGAAACGATAGCAGCAGATCAGCCTGTCGGATAAACGCCCACACCCGCCTTCGCATCTCACCCTGAAAAGGAGAAATATTTGGAAACATTTTGGGATCGCGGTGATAACCCATCTGCATCGCTAGGCGAGCAATGACCCCTATCAAAACCCATACCGACATTTACTGATTCTACCTGCGCATAATCAGCGTGTAAGTAGA